CGCCTCGACCTTGTCCAAAGCGTCAAACAGCTTGGTGCAGGCCGTATCGTAGGCTTCCTGGCTGCCCGCAAAGCCACAGCGATATACGCCCTGAAAATGGGCCCAGCACGAGACACACGAGTTCAAATCAGCTGCACACCCCCAAAAACTCTGTTTTGATACAAGACAGTGTCTGCCACATACATCGTTGATGTTGGGATACACGAGCTCGTCAATCTCGGTCATGGCCGATTCCAAATCGGCCGGCTCCAGGTCCAGCTCGGGACGCTTGGCCAAATCGTTGAACTGTGAGTTGAACATGCCTAAAGGTCAAGGATATGTGCACGAGTCAGGCACCACACCAAGAGGTGAGCGCCACAAAGAGAACAGATCATCGGAAGAAATCCTCAAGTTGTCCTTGAAAAGGACAGAGGAAAGTTGTCTGATTGGGGTTTTTTTTTTTTTCTTTAAAGAAAAAAAGGCCAAGGGGTGGCGCGCGGGAGGCTTGGGGGCAGGCTGACGCACGGATGATTTCGCTGCTTTCATTGTTAACAATGGTCTAAAAAAACGATCGCGAGCCAAGGACGGCGTGCTTGATGAGATTGCGTCCGGGACGCATTGCAGGCCCGTGGAGGATGAACCAACCTGAGTCTTCTTATCAAAGAGGACGGGCACGGAAAGCTTCTTGTACGGATAGCCGGGCTGTGCCAAATTGTAAACCTGGCAGATCATCGGTACATGATGGAAAAGGGTCATGAGGGCATACTGGAGTGTGATGCCGCAAGTGGCCTCTGAAAGAAAAAGCCAAGGAAGGTCTCGGAGGAGCAATGGCTGTTGCGTACGTCGTGAAGATACTCAAACTCTGGGTGAAGAGGATCGGGGTCCTCCTTGGTAAAGGGCCAGCCGCGGTAGGGTCGGCCATCATCGGGCCACTCCAGAAACCAGCCTAAAGCCGACGCGGGCCATGGAATAGCGCAGTGGTGTGGTGCCAACGGCGTGAGGGCAGGGCGTGGTCCTTGGAAAGGGTGGATGAGCAAAGCTGTGGCTGAGGGAGGAAGGGTGCGAAAAGCTAACCAAGCATGGTGACGGAGATGACGTCTTCGAGGCCTTTGAGCGAGCGCATCAAGAGGGCGCGGTGGGCCCAGGGACAAGCCCATGCCACGTCTACAAAGGATGGGCCGAGCAGAGATGAGTCGCAAGGCACTTTCCAAAGCTCGAAGCACTGTCCAAAGCATGTGTGTGTGCATGCACGCGCAAGGCGAGGGGCTGGCAAAAACACAGTCGAGACGCACAGAGGTGGTAGCGACCGGCTTCGGCCGGGTACTTGTCTGAGCCAATGGTGTCGTGAAAGGCCGTAGGGGGGCGACGAAAGGCACCAGCCTTGGCCTCTTCCTCAGACACGCCAAATTTGTTTTGGTCCGAGCCTTCGACCTACGCATGAATTTGGAAAGCGCCAGCGTCAGAAGCTGCAAGTGGCCAGGATGGCAGGCACCCAATAGGCGAGAGCACCAACGTGGGCAAATTGATCCGAGGCAGTGGTGCCAAAGATGTCGCCTTGACTGGCGCCGGCGTTATCCTTGTTAGCAGCCATTGTGAGCAACCGGGATTGAGGCAAGACTGCAGAGCCGAAGCTGAATCGGGATGCGCAATAGTACAGCAGCAAAGCGTTGATGAGGGGCCAGGTTTGCGACTTTTTAAAAAAAAAAAGAAAGAGGTCACAAGTGATAGAGTCGGCACGCAACAACAACAACAACAACAACAACAACAAAGAAAAGAGCCGGATGAGGGAAGACATACCGGTGGGTCGAGGTAGCGCGGGCAAAGGGCTTGCTGGTGACGCCGGTGTGCGCAGTTCGAGAGGCTGTGAGCAGACGCTTGGAGACGGGAACACTCGATCGCCACAACCGCTGAAGATGCGCTCCAAACATTGAAAGCTGAACATGGCAGCACGTAGCACGGTCCGTGAGAGTTGGGGCCAGGTAGGAGTACGCAGGACAGGCAACAGTCTTTGCGCCAAGCCACAACCAGGACGTACCGAGGAAGGAGTACACCATCCTGTACTTTGTCTTTGAGAAGACCTTTGCCTGCCACCAATACCCCGCCGAGGAGGTCGTCACCTATTGCCGTTCAATACGACAACCAGACGGTCCGTACGCTCAAGGGCAGCTATGATCCGTCCCTTTCTAGATCGCCGTGTCGGCTCCCGCTCAAACTTCCCCGCTTATCGAAACACACTGGCAGGTCGCCCCCACTTGGACGACTGCGTATGTCGATGACAACTGCAACAACCGCGCCCATATCCTCAACGAGTTGGTAGCCCACCCAACTGCTGTGCCCCGGCTTCTCACACGCAACGTGCAATTTGACCAATGTCTCACTCTGCCTTGATGCATCTTGCTTAGAACTACCATCTCCATCACCTGGGATACCTCCATGTAAATGCGTGTCTATTTCAGACGCTGGCCTTCAGCAACACAGGGGCCGGCTGCGTACGACACACCCCATGCCCCTCCTCCCCCCCCTTTCTTTTTTCTTTTTTGCGCTGACTGCGGCTTTCAAAGTGGGCAAGTCTCCCTTGGCATACACAATTCAACACCTAGAGGTGCAATTTTGTTGGCATGTACCTGTACATGTTGCTGCTGTGCTGCCAGTACACTCGACAAAGC